ACTCTCATTTTGAGATTTTTCATATTTTTTACTCCTATATAGGGAGATTTCTTAATTTTAAAACTATAGTGATCAACAACAAAGTAGAATAAATAATATTTGAGAAATTAAATATGTACACAACAAAGTCTTCTTTAATTTCATTTTTTTTCAAAAACTTTAGGGTACGGAACATTTTTTGTATGGTGTCATGAGTTTCCATTGTCATCTAGAACTAATATTTTTAATTATGCATTTGTCTTCAATCATGAAATAACAAAATAAAATTATCCAACAAATTTTTTTCCTGGCTTTTATTAATAGTCATAACGATACATAAGACTATTGAAATTATTCTCTCTAAAATTTCAAGGGTAGTCTGGGATCACAAGATACGAAATTGATTTAGGATCCTCGACTCAATTTCCCAAAATAACAATTACCACTGATAATGTTCTTTCACAATACTTTAATGAGTAATCTTGTACCATTACAAAATTTAGATGTTTGATCAATGTTTCTCAATAACATAATTGATTATCCTTTTTTCAAAATTATTTTGTAATTTGGGATCTCCGAACATTTGATTTCATTCAAAACTCAAGTGTTATCCAATGTCATCAACACTTACATTTGCATCTACTTGGCATAGAAAATCAAAACTCAAGTACTCGTTTTCGTCACTGAGATTGAAGGATAGAAAAATTCATTTAACATTTGAACAACTTCGAGAGTAAGTGATAATAGTGTTATGTCCTAAAAAAAGAATAATTTTTCATATTCTTTGATAGGTCTAGATAAGTGAAGTCTACTATACTCTTGAGGAGATAACTTGTGTCGAGAATCAAGAATTTGAGATTTTAACATCAGTTGTTCCATCAATCACCTTTCCAAGCTTTGCATCTCCGACTTTGATTTTGTAATAAAAAAACTTGTGTATTCCTATATACGCAAGAAGATGTAGATGAATACAATTTCTTATTTTTGGTCAATGTTAAAACTTTACTATACGACCAAATGTAACGCCCTGAGACCCGGTCTATTAGAACTGATTAATTTAATTAATTAATTAATTACTAACTTGGACCGGGGTTGGGAAAAATAAAGTCTTCAGAAAAATTATTTGATCACACCATAATATTCGTCTTGACTATCTGATTCCAGAAACGTAAACGGATCTCAATTCGGACCAGTTCGAGAGAAAAACCGCATATCGTTCAGATCACACTTTACACAACGAGATGGGATTTAAGAAGGTAACTCCCAAATCCAACCACACGCCACACACCCATCATTTTGCATTAAATCCTCATTCAATCCTCCACCTTAATTCCCCATTGAGCAGTTACATGCGAGGCATGCCGCTAAATATGGTTTTGTCGGCATGCTTGGGAACATTGATTGCATCCATTGGAAATGGAAAAACTATCCAATGCGTGGAATGGTCATTTTGGGTTTCAGGGAGTATTTTTTTTTAAAGTAATGTAATTTTTATTTATGTTTTTATTAAGAGAAATTTATTTAAATAACACTAAAACATAATGACTTTCTCTAAATAGCACCACATGTGTTTTTCTTCCCAATGTAGCACTTTTAGTCATTATGCATTAGTCATTATTCAAGCAAATATTCGCCATCATTGGATATTATTAACATTATTAAGTGTTGTTTAAGGAATAAAACAATTTAAGTGTTATTTAAGAAAATGACTTAAGTTTTAGTGCTATTTAGTGCAATTATTTCTTTTATTAATGGAAACTCTTTAATTTTAATTTATATATTCTATATTAAAATTTTAAAAATAAAGGTTTGAAGCTCCAGTTTGAAGCATGATATTAAGTGTGATGTAAGTTAAAGAAAGATGAAAGTTGATGTGGTGGAGGGAGATGTTTTGAAGCCTTAGTATTTCCAGTGATCTTACAAAATTGATGGTTTTACCGCCTCTAACCCTTCGATAAATCACTCTCCCTAACCCATACTCGTTGGAATCTTAATTTTGACATTTTCAATAGACATTAAATGGATCAATTTGGCTATATATATCAATAGGTCCACAAACAATTTTAATCGTTAATTAATGGACGTATATTTACTTAAATGAGATAAATATTTTTGATAATTCTTACGCCAAAAATGGTAGACACTGAATGAGAAATTGATTCTCAAAATTGACCCATGAAATAGAAACAAGGCCGGCCCTGGGGGTAGGCATAGGGGGCTGCCGCCTAGGGCCTAGCTATTTCATTAGGGGGCCCATAATTATTTTTTCTCCAATAGTACTAGTAATATATTATTGTGAAAAATAATAAGTTCAGGGTTTTAAGCTTTCAATTTTAAGTAAATATATAAAGTAAAATAATAATATGATACACTCAATCATTTTAATTCATCAAGTAATATTGTTCTTTTTTAAATATAATTATAAGAGAAGCCAAATTTTTTAATTGGCCTAAGGCCCATAAAATATCAGGACCGGCCCTGAATAGAAGAGTATGGTTGATGCATACACATGCATACTTTTATTGAACCAATCTTCTATTACTTTTGTGCAATGTTTAAAATTAGTCTATTTTTACGGAGTTAAGTTACCATTAGTCTCTAATAATATGAGATAAATTTTAAACGGAGCGTAGCTAATAGACATGTTAATGACTACCATTAACATACCATTGATGAGGTGCTACTAATGACCATCATTAGTACACTTTTATGGTGGAGGTTGCAAATCCTCATGAAAAGCCTATTAAAAGTGCATGATACTCTCATTTTAGGAGTCATATCCGCGAGAAACAAAAAGGAACAAGGAAAAAGTTTTTCACTTCATTAAAGAGCATTCTCTATTTTGAGAGAGTTAGAATTTTCTATTTTTCCAACGGTCCTGTTCTATTGGCTTTGTTTTTTGTTCGGCAACGCTCCGACGACGTTCTCGTTCGTAGGTGTGAGATTGGTCCGTAAAATTACCACACACGATAGCGGTTTTATTCTCGAAGGAGAGTGTCCACGTTCTTCAGTACGGTAGGCGAGTACCATTACCTTAAGGACAGTTCCGGCAACTCCATTGCCCTTCTACGATATCCTATTTTGTAGATTTTGTTCACGTCTAGTTCGCTGTCTCATTTTAGTGCACTAACTCCTCACTATCGTCAAGCAAGGCCATTAGAGATTTGAAGCTATTTATTTTATTTTTTATTTATTGTAATAATCAGAATAAATTATAAATTTGGATTGATTTCATTTTAGTTTTTTCAGAGCCGTTCATCTTTTTCATCCGTTGTAATCCGTACGAGCACTATTCCAACAATAAGAAACCAACCTCATAACCCCGTTAATTTCATCTCCTAAATTTAGTCGACTTTGAAATCAAATAATTTATGAGTGGAGCATAATGCCTTGTTGTTTTCAACATTGCTTTGTCTTTGTAGGTGTCTATACGAGTGGTGTCAAAAGCTAGTGTCAAACCTGGGATACTTTATAAAGAATTTGTATCAACTAATTATTTTATCATGAAAAATGCAAGGGGTACACCAAATGTGTACCCCATTTGTCCCCTACCCCATCCTTGTCCACAAAAAAGGCAAGAAATTCAAAAAAAATGAATAAATAAAAATAAAATAAAAATGGGTGGTGGAGAAGGGGGTGGTGAACATTTGGGGTACACCTTTGGTGTACCTCTAGCATTGCTCTTTTATCATTGATAGAAAAATTAATAAATCAACCATGCTAAATGCATTCCATGAAATACTCCCTCCATCCCAAAATCACTTCCGGATTTGATTGGAGCCCATTTTTAAGAGTAGAAATCACCCTAAATAAGACTAAAACATAGAGAAAAGTACTAAAATAGGACTTCCATGTTTTTTTTCTCGAAATAGAACTTTGCACTGTGGTAATGTGGTAGTGTACATGTACACATTACTATACTTTTTTTTGTAATGTATATGACTATGTTTGATAATGTAAGTCCTATTTCGGGAATAAAAACATGGAAGTCCTATTTTGGTATATTTTCAATGTTTTAGTTCTATTTTGATCTTTCTCCCTTTTAAGAGAGAGTAAAATCTGCTTTGACTTTTTTCAAAATGCCCCCCTGCTCTTTTTGATTCATCCCATTCTAATAATGATAGAGGGGTACTAATGTCCTTTAATAAGAGAATAGTAATTTTTTAAAAGTGGAAAAGGCTGTTTTAGGACGGAGAAAAAATGGAAGTAGGAAGACTGTTTTAGGAAAGGGAGTATACTTTAAAAGGCTAAATGCTAAGTACTAATATTTTGATGATTCATACTTACACAATATGTTAATATGATTAAAACAAATTTATGTTAGTATTTCGTGTTTGTGTGAATTATCGCATTAGCATCACACTGACACGGAACGAAAGTACATATATGTAATTTACAATTTAGGATATAACTTTTAGGATATAAGAACTTAATTGTTAGGGAAATATAATGCTTGGTTCACAAACAAAACCGTCACAAATTTCACAAACTTACTATTTGTGAACTTCAATATAAAAAATGAAGTAGCCTGAAATAATTTTAAAATGAGAATTTACATCTGAAATGCTAGGTTTGTGAAATTTATGACAGTTTTGCTTGTGAACCTAGCATTGTTGTGATTGTTACTCCCTAGTAAATAGATACAGGTTTGAGTTGAATTTGAAGACTAATTGAAATAATTGCAACGAATAGACAACAACTTTACAGAATAAATTCCCGCATAGGGAAGTTTTGGAGCTGGTATTTCCTGAGAGAGAAAAGCGGCTTTAGTAAAGCCGTTTTTTACAATTTTTTTTAAAATTGGCTTTCACAAAGCCGTTTTTTGTAAAAAAAAATTTAAAAAAAATGGCTTTCATAAAGCCGATTTTTTCATTCCAAAAAAATTACATACGCTTACGTTTAAAAAAAAAACTTGGCCGATTTCATAAACCCTTTTTTTTAATAAAAAGAAATATTTTTTATGATTCAATAAATATTTTGTTTAAAAAAAATCAATCAATAAAAATTTAATAAAGAGATGTTCAACAAGAAAAAGTTTAATAAATCATTTAAATAAAGGGATTGGACAAATCAAATTTTAAACAAATTATCTAAATAATTTTCAGAAACTTGTTTTTAAACGAATAGTAGGCAATATTGAAAACATAAATATATTAAAACATCAACAGAAAATTACATTCTCAACATCTGAAGTAAACAAGAATTACAATACCTTCCATGATACAAACTAAAAAAATATTAAACTAAAATCATCTCCTTGCCCTGAAATCCATCTCGCCCTGGTATCGATTGCGTTGACGTCTCCCTGAACGTGGAATCTCATTTGTTGGCCGTTTGGGAGGTAGAACTTTAAAGCTGCCAACATCCAAATTTTGAGGGAAAAGAACAGGTTGAATTATACCATTGTAACAACTCAAATAGTTTTGAACCGACTACCTAGCCGGTAATATGTTGTGAGGAACTTGTTGTCGAAAAGAGTAGTAAACAGCATGAACATGAACACAAGGTATACTATCGGAAGTCCACTGCCCACAAGTGCATACACTACTAAACAAATTGACCAAGTAATTGTAAATGGAAGAAGGATCTGTTCGAGATGTGTGAGTCACTACGTATTGGTTGTTACCGTAGCTTGAGACTGTCCACTTGTGCTTAGTTTTCTCCCGATTAAGAAGAACATTTTTAATTTTTAGAGTAATGAGCATGCTCTGTTCTTGCCACTGAATACCAAGCTTGTACCTTTTAGCAAACAATTCAACCATCTTGGCATATGACATGGATAAAATGGCAGTGACAGGTAACATTCGACAACCTTTCAGCATATTGTTGAAACTCTAAGAACTATTTGTCGTTAAGATACCACACCTAAACCCACCATCAAAACAAAGGGTTCATGCCGCACGGGGAATATCATTTAAATACTTATATCCCTCCTCACTCATGTTTCGTATTTCAGCCATATATCCTTCAAACTGTTGGATATTATGTGTACTACCAGCGGCCCAAACCAAATTTTTAAGATCACTGTTCCGGAACTTTGTCATGAAGTTGCTCCGAACGTGGCGAAGACAAAAACATTTCATTATCAATCCGGTCTGTAGTTCTGGAAGGTCACAATAGGAGTTGATGATTCCAACATGTCTGTCAGAAATAATACAGACTTGTTGTGAGCCGATAACCCTCTGAACAAGAAGGCGAAAAAACCAAGCCCAACTCTCACATGTTTCTCCGTCAACAACCGTATAAGCCAGAGGAAAGATTTCACGATTACCATTCATGGCAACCGCAAGAAGGAGATTACCCTTGTACTTTCCGTACAAATGAGTTCCGTCCACCGTCACTACAGGTATGCAGTATTGTAATCCATGTATTGCCGCGGCGAACGCCCAAAATGCATACTTAAATCGCGGGGTCTCTTCAGGCATGGCATTAAGGTTTGGCGGTTCGGATGCATAGACAACATCGACTACAGGCCCTGGATAAGAATTTTGTAAATTGTACAACATAATAGGAAGTTGAGAATACGGATTCTCCCAACTATCGTCTTCAACAAGCTCATCTTCATTGCGTTCAACGTTTTCTAAAGCACCCCTTAGGCTGTCTCGAACCTCTACAGCAACCGCTCCGGGAACTTTACCGAGTCGACGCTCCGCTTTCTTTATTGTATTCACCTGCGAAAAAAAATCAGTTAGTGAAGTATTTATTTTATTATAAGTAAATATTTATAATTTCTAAATTACCAAGAATGCAAGTTTGGCAGAAGTATTTTCAGATCCCTCTAGAGGTCGATGATAGGGGTTTCCAATAATACGCCGACCGTGCGTTGCAAACCAGTGAGCATATTCCACGGTAATTTGGAATGGATTCTCTCCTACTATGGGCTCCATTTCATGAAAAACGGTAAGGGCGAAGCGATTATCCCTCCATTGCGCCACACATGCTTGTACCGAATGGGTCGATTTACATCCCTTGGTTTTATGATAGGCCTCCGTATACGGATGGGTAAGCTCAGGAATGGTTTGCAACATCCCAAACTGTCGTGTGAATCGCATAGGCATGACAGGATCAATCATCGAACGATAAATAACATAGCCTTGGAAAGTCCATAGTTGAGGACTACGACGACAATAAGCAGGAAAATTATCAATATCGTACGGTTTCCAAACAACCTGTATTTTGTATACATTTATTAGTCAATGCATGATCTAATTTTTACAAATTATTTTCTAAATTATTTTATGAATATTAATCTTACGTTTCGGAACTGCAAGGAGTCAAGTTGATTCCTAAAGTAGCGTACATTTTGCCTAGCAGAGGCACTGTACATCTTGGTCTGTTTCCACCTTAATAATAATAAATGTATAGCAACTTGAATAAAATAAGAGAAAAAAGTTATAACCTCGATAATCTAAATTAATGTAAATAAATACCGTGCACAAAATGGGTCGTCTTCGCGGGGAGGCCCGAGTGGATTGTTCGGAACATTATTCACTATGGGTCTTCTGGTCAAAATCCGAGTCCACGCCCATAATTGCAATAGAAGAAGACAACCCCCGGGACGCGTTCGCGGGTTAGTCTTCAACGCAGCCTTACAGAGCGAAAAATTTAATCGCGCTAAAACTGCAGAGCCCCAACTATAAGTAGATGTTTCATTAAAATCTCGTAGGTATCTCACGAAATTAGTTGGTGCGTACATACCCGAAGAATCTGGAAATAATAAACCACCCATATAAGCATATATGAGCCTAGCGGTATATTGAGCCACCATCTGATCAGGTCATTCATTATTTGGTTGAATGGTTTGTCCCTCAAAAAGAAGGGCAATCTTGAATTGGTCATCGGTGGTCCACATCAAAACATCTCTAAATAAGACATTTTGTTCATCAATATTTAAATCAAAGCCCATGACGGGTAGTCCATCAATCGGAAGTCCTAGTAAGCATTCCACGTCCTGTAAGGTGATACCCATCTCACCGAAAGGAAACTGAAATGCGTGTAACTCCGGTCTCCAACGCTCAACAAGAGAAGTGATTAGACCATGGTCTAATCGGATAGGTTGCACACGATGCACTCCATAAAACCCTGACCGGTGCAACATTTCATAAACTCTATCATCATGAAAAACCGTTGGAAGACTACCTTTGTAGCGAACCGGAGAGACTTTGTTGTCTATAAAATCCGGGTTATGCCATACTTCATGCGAACGATGTGTAGCTTGTAAAGTAAGAATGTCCTTCGATCTAGGACCCGCTATTTCTCTCTCTGAATCATACATTATGCTTCAAAAAAAATTCTAGTGAGCTTGTATCTACTCATAATACAATAAAATGGTTAAAAAAAATCTTGTTTAAAAAAATATGCATTACATATTGTAAAATTAAAAAAAATATGCATTACATATTGTAAAGTAAAAAAAATATGTATTACATATTTAAAAACTTATAAAGAATTATTCTAAGAAAACATACCTCAACTTCTTGCATGATTATGGAAGAATAGATAAATTTAGAATATTTAGTGAGAAAAGAAGAGAAAGAATGTGAGATGTAGTTGAAGAGATTATGTATTTTGTGTAAGAAGAAGGAAAAGATTTGATTATTTGTAGTAGAATTGGGAGGGGTAGTAGGTGAAGGGATTAGGTGTGAGAATAGGGAGAGGTGGAGTATGAAACGGAGAAAGGGAGGGGAATCACTGCGCATGCACTGTGCGGAACTGTAGATTTGTACTGTAGCTCCTGAAATGGCTTTTGGAAAGCCGAAAAAAATAAATTAAAAAAAAAGAAAATGGCTTTATGAAAGCCGAAAACCATAAAAAAAATAAAAAAAAATCGGATTGTCAAAAGCCGATTTTCGTTCTCAGGAATTTACCTTTCCCATTTGGGAATTATATTCAAAAATTTTTCCCTCTTAGGGAAACCACCCAACTTTACATACGATTAACAAAGGAGATGCATAGAATCTAGACAGATAGATATCAGGGATGTGAGAATGTGTGAAAAATTGTAGTCAATTATGAGAAATGCTAGAGTCACAAACACTTCGGTCACAAAATACACAAACTTGTCATTTGTGCATATCATTAAATGAATAAAATGATGTTGAAATATTAAAAAGTAAACATTTATATACACAAATGGCAAGTTTGTGTATTTTGTGACCGAAATGTTTGTGACTCTAGCATTTCTCGTCAATTAGTTATTTTTTCTAATTAAATTTGGGGATTTCTTCGGTGCCCAAAGAAATAAGAGGGTATCCATGTCCCTCCACTCAAGTATTGCCATGTGTATTAAATCTTATGGGAATTAATAAAGTGTTCCAGCTCATTTTAAATCTATGAAATTACAATTGACCTCCCCACTTTGCTTGTGTTAAACTCACCCCCAAACCCCCTTAGAGCACTGGGTATACTCCTCACGCCCACCTGCGTTACGGGGCTTTTAACGCCCCGGGGCGTTAAACACCGCCCCCCGCCGGCGTTAACAGGGCGTGAGGAGCCCTGCGTCAAACGAATGACGCTGCGTCATTCGTCTCCCCCTCCCCCCCTAACGGCTATTATAGCCGTTGGCCCTCCCAAAAAAAATCTTATAAATTCAAACCCCCCCTCCCAATCTCTCACACCTTCTCCATCTTCAATCTCTTCTTCTTCCCAATTTTTAAAATTCGAAATCACTCCCTCTCTTTTCAACATGAATCCTTCCGGCTCCGGCTTCTTTCCCGATGATCTCCCGCCGAGCGACGCCGCGATGTGGTTGTACCAACAGTGGGGCGATCGACTGCCGATCTACGAGACGCAACAATCGGGGTACGTCGACCGAGATTCGGTTCCGGAGAGTCTCCGGAACCGTCCGGGTCGAAAAAAAGTACACGCCGGAAAAGCCACAAAGCCAAAAGCACGATGACCGAGGCGGCACGGTCAATCCAAAAGTGGACGCCGGAGGAGGAGTGCATATTGGCGTCGGCTTGGGTTGACGTCTCCGAGCATCCTATCATTGGTAAAAAATTTATTTTTTCTAATATATTTATGTTTTAATGGGGCCACATCAACCGTAAAGTCCGAAAGTTTATCGGAGTTTACGAGGAATGCTCCCGGTCCCGGACGAGCGGTACGAACGACGTCGATGTTCTCCGGCTTGCCACGACCCGGTATCAAGACGACAGGCACTAAGGCAAGGTGCCCATCGATCTTTGGAGGATTTTGAGTCGTTCCCCGAAGTGGCAACAACTCAACAATCCCGACGGCGGATTGTTCCGGAAAAGATCCACCGTCGATGCCGAGGTTGAGGTCGACGAGACTATCGGTTCAACCGATCAAATCCCTCCCTTCAACGTTGCGGATTCCAATGACGAGGACCCCATTCCACGCCCGATCGGAAGAAAGAATGCAAAATCCATTGCCTCTGGTTCGGGAGGGTCCGCCTCTGTTTCCGCTTCTTCCCGCGACGAAATCGGTCGGGAAATGGTCGAGCAACTTCGGGCGTTCAATCTCCGAGAACAAGAGAGGTTGAAGCTAAAGGAGAAGGAGTTGAAGCTAAAGGAGCAGGAGGTCGAGATGAAAGTCATGCAAACCGACCCCAGGACGTTGTCAGAGATTGGACGAATGATCTACGAGCAAAGAATAAGAGAGATCAAGGAGAAATATAATTTACCTTAGTTTTTTTTATTAATGTATCTTTTTTTTTAATTATTGTCGCTTTTTTTATTTAATGAATGTATTTTTTTATTATTCGTGTTTCAATATAATTAAATAATAAATTAATTACATTTTATTAATTTAATTTTAGAAGATGTATATTTAAAAATGTAAAAAATGAAGGTTTGAAGCCCCAGTTTGAAGCCTCGGAACTTCAAACCCATTTCCAGTGAATTTTGGGTGTAAGTTAAAGCTGACGTGGTAGAGAGAGAAAGTTTGAAACCCCGAGTTTGAAGCTCCGGGGCTTGAAAATATTTCGAGTGCCCTTATGTTTTCTTCCGCCGTTTCTGTGTATCACGTTAACTAATTTAATTAGTCCATATATTTTTCGTTGTCTTCTTCCCAAACCGTAACCACCCTTTTCCGCGGCACTGCACGGCTGCACCCCTGGCCTTCCGTCACTATGCATCTCACATTAGAGAAGAAGCTGCCGCCTTGACCGCCGGCCACAATCGTATACAAATCTAATCAATTTCCTCTTACCCAATGACAAAGGTTTGATTGTTTGAGCTTCTAAGAAGTAGCTATTTTTCTCTTCTTTGAGGTTTGGCAATAGTGTAGTACGTTCTTTTTTTTTCCTGTGAAAATCTAATCTTGAGCTTCTAAAAAGTAGTCATTTTTTCCTTTGAGATTTGGGCATTTTTGGATTTGGCAATTATATCATTTGATATAACCATGTTTACCAAAAAAAAATGGTGCGAGTAATTTTAAGACATAACAATTTTTCTTTTCACTATTGTGAATTGTAACAATGGATTTGGCCATAATCACTCTCTGTCAAGTTTTTTTTTTTCTTTACATGCCTCTCCACAGTGAGGATTAAAGTGGATGGCCGGCTCATAGAACATAAATTCCTACAAAGGATTTGATAACCTCGTTTTGATGCTAAGAGGAAATTGATTAGATTGGGTAAGAGGAATTGATCAGATTTGTATAAGATTGTGGCCGGCGGTCGAGGCAGCGGATACTCTGATGTGCACTGTGACGGCAGCCCAATGGAGCGCCGAACCAACAGAACAAAAAAAAAAAAAGATCATTTGAAGTAACGTCAGTGATAAACGGAAATTCGGAAACTGAAGAAAACTGAAGGGTTGGGTTGGGGTGAGTTTAAGGCAAACAAAGTGGAGAGGTCCAATTGTAATTTCTTTAGAGTTAAAATGAGCTGGAACACTTTATTAATTCCCATGAGATTTAATACACGTGGCAGTACTTGAGTGGAAGGGCATGGATGCCCTCTTATTTCTTTGGGCACCGAAGAAATCCCCTTGAATTTAATTCTTTCTACTCCCCCGTCCCCTTATATTTGTCCACATTTGACTTTTGGAACTGTTCATCTAAGCACTTTGACTCATCAAATTCTCTCAATGTGTAAGCCTAAATATAGTCATGTGTGATCTTGTTTGATTTGTCTTAACATATAGATTATTAATATATAATTTTTATAATTTTTTAATATACAAATTACAAGATAAAATGGATTAAAGAAGTGCATTGGATGATGTACAAAAATGAAAGTGGACAAATACAGGGGGACGGAAAGAGTACTTTTTAACCACGTCTAACATCTTACTTCTAGAAAGTTATGGGTGTATGGTTGGCATTCTTTTTAATGAGCTTCTCCACAAATCATTGGAAGTGGACTTCCCATGGTTCACGCCAAGGGAAAAGCTTCTTACTTATTAAGTGGCCTGATGTGAACATATTTTGAGGCCCTCAAAAGGTTATATATCTTTGAGGAATTTACTTAAATAGCACTAAATACCACTATATGTGTTTTTCTTCCCAATATAGCACTTTTAGTCATTATGCATTAGTCATTATTCAAGTAAATATTCGTCATCACTGGACATTATAGACATTATTAAATGTTATTTGGGAAAAAAACAATTTAAGTGCTATTTAGAAAAATGACTTAAGTTTTAGTGCTATTTAATGCAAATATTTCTATATCTTTTCAAATAATTTTTTTGTCCATATATCTCTTACTTTGTTTTGAACAATTTTAAAACTTGTATCTTGGTACAAAATGAATTGAACCAAACTTCATGAGTAAATTCCATAATTGGTCCATTATAACAAGAAGATTTTTCCATTTAATTCTCTATTATCAAATATTATACTGTTGGTCCTTCTTTTATGGGTATCTTTTCCTATAAAAAATTGTGTAGAATTAAAAAATAAAAAATTATATATTTAAAAACTAAATTAAAAGATCTACAAAACTAATTGTGATATAACTATAATATTTGATCAAATAACCAATGAAAATAAAAAAGGTGAATAAAGTTTGATCATGTGAATAGTAAACATGCAATTTAATTTGGGAGAAAGGGAGTTATTCATAAGAAATTAATAGTACGAGTAATATACAACTTTTTAATGATTTTGACTTTCGATTTTCTCATTTCATTTATTTTGTTTTTTATATTTAAAATTAAAAATTTATTTTTTAAAAACAAATTAACTTTTATTTTAAATTTTTTAACATATATTATTGAATATCTTGCAAGAAAAAATGATAAAAATAATTTTTCTAATAGCTAAGTTCAAAAGCTATTGCCTTTGACTTTTGAGATTTTGACTTTTCAGATCAAATAGCTAAGTAAAAAAGTCATTAGTCAAGTACTCCGGTAATAATTTTAGCTATTCAATTAATTAAAAAAACTAGAGTCACTGAAAGAGACCAAAATTCATCCCAAAAGTTGTTTTAACATAATTTATACAACCATGCTAGGGGTACACCAAAGGTGTACCCCATTTGTCCCCCACCCGTTTCTCTACCACTCATTTTAACCCCATTTTTATTTATTTAATTTTATTTTAGTTTCTTGCCCATTTTTGTGGTAATGGAAGGAGTGTGGGACAAATGGGGTACACCTTTGATGTACCCCTAGCATTTTTCTAATTTATATGTAGTGCCTGCCTTCCAAAGTGGCATAAATGCGTAATCTTATATGGCACTGACATGATGGCGTGATCACCATTTTTATATCATTCCATATTTAAGGGCTGTTTGGCAACTTCTGAATGGGTAAGTGTTGAATCAGTAAGAGGTCTGAACCATTAAGTGCTGAACCAGTAAGAGGTCTGAACCATTAAGAGCTAGTATATTGCTTAACTATTCAGAGGCAAATATCTGATCAATTCAGATAAGAGGTATTAATCATTCAGACTATGTATAATACTTAACCATTCAGAGGCAAATCTCTTAACCATTCAGACTTTTGAACCATTAAGAGGCTGAAACAAACAGTTTGAACTATTAAGTGTTGAACCATTCAGACATCTGAACCATTAAGAGGCTGAAACAAACAGTTTGAACTATTAAGTGCTGAACCATTCAGACATCTGAACCATTAAGAGGCTGAAACAAACAGCCCCTTAGTAATACATGTGTGTGTTCTCAAAAAAAAGTAATACATGTGTGATAGTGTTATTTAATACTCCGTATAATCTTAAAACAACAACAACAACAACTCAGGTGAATCCCACAATAGTAGGGTCTGGGGAGGGTGTGTGTACGCAGACCTTGCCCCTACTCGGAAGTAGGGAGGCGGTTTCCAAGAGACCCCCGGCTCCACCTGTACAAAAATATGGAAGGGGACACAGTATAACACAGATAAAGCACCAAGTACAAGCAACAAGTACAAGCACTAGCAGAAGACTCCAAACAAATACAACACACTACAAAACAACCTCTACAACACCGAGCTCCTATCCAGCTACTCTAATCCTAGTTTTCCAAAGGTTCCTATCTAAGGTCATATCCTCAGTCAGGTCGAGAAGTCCTAAATCCTACCTAATCACCTCTTTCCAATTCTTCCTAGGTCTACCCCTTCCCCTACTTCCCCCGATAACCGTAATCCTCTCGCATCTCCATACAGGGGCGTCAGCATCCCGCCGTCTCACATGGCCAAACCATCTCAACCTCGCTTCCCACAACTTATCTTCCACCGGTGCCATGCCTACCTGACGTCGGATAACTTCGTTCGAAATCATATCTAACCTTGTCTTCCCACACATCCATCGTAACATCCGCATCTCCGCCGCAGGCAGACGACGCACATGAGTCTTCTTAACCGCCCAACACTCTGCCTCAATATAATCTTAAATTAAAAAGAAAAAATCACTCAATTAAAGTTGTGAAAAACCAAATTTATATAATAAAATCATAGTGGTTAGTGTTCGAAACTTCCTATATTAGAAATTTGTTTATACATTGCGATTGTATAATTTTTTCATATGTACATCTACAAGTGATATAGGGCTTATTTATTAAAAGCATTCAATAAAACAATTAAAGCATGTGGATTAAAAACATGTAACCAAACAAACATTTAAATTTAAGACACATTTAAATCAATTAAGACATTCAAGCAAAGAAAAAACATCGATTACAGGTATAATAAAAACAAGCTAATAAGGTAGGTTAGAAGTGAAGATGTAAATATAAAAATTATTTGGGAGTCATTAATTGCTTTTTGGTAATAATATCGTAAAATGATGAGTTTTTTTAGAGTATTTACATTAATTTTGTCTTTATAAACTAATCTTATTGATAAATCTATACATAAATAAAAAGTAAAATTTAGATATTTAGAAATTACTATATATACCAAAGTTTCAAGAGAACAATGTAATGATGACAGACTTATTTTTATCAAATACTCCCTTAATTTAATTTGTTTTTGTTTACGAAATAAGATGTGACATCATAATACTAATTTATCAAATAATTAACAAAAGTAAGAATACAAAGTGAATAAAGATTGATATGTGAATAGTAAATAAGTAAATTAATTTACGATGGAGGAAATAATTATTAAATTTGTAAACACAAACAAAAATTATCAAAAAGCTTCAAATGGTAAAGAGTACGACAAGTTAGAGGATATCTAGGGGATTATAGGATAAATTTACAAAAAAAATACTTCGGGGTAACCTTTATTTTCTAATAATAAGTACCCTTAAGTCTCACACTATCTAAAATATATTGCGGAGTACCTTGTATTTTCTGATAAAAACAATCAATTCCACAATATCCGAAATATATTACAGAGTCATTAAATTTGTGATTTTATATTTCGAGGGTATGCTCAAGTCTCACAAATTGAAAGATTAAAATTCAATAAAATAATGATTATCAAGGTAAAAATTACTATTTATCTAAGTACATAAACTTTCAATAATAACGACAAAATAGACGTAAATATGTAGGGATAAGGACCAAAATATGAGTAAAACATTGACTATATACCAAAATAGGAGTAGAAACATAAAATTCTCAAAATAAGAGTTGCTAACTCACCTTCAATAATCACGAAACTGACCCTCCAACGTTTCAAACGATCAAATGGGGTGCTCTTGGTGCGGAAAATATCAAAAGGATGACCCTCCACAGTTCTCATCCTCGTCAAAATAGCCCATGTGACCTTCTAAGTCCTCATTCCTATGGATGCTATAGGGTGAGCCTTTAAATTTACTGTCGCATGAGAGATGAGGCCACTAAATTGATCTCCCCTACTTTTACACTACTTAGTTGATCTCAGAATTACTGGAACACAAAATAACAGAGCAAGGGGAAGAGATCATAATCTTCTACCGTAGGTATATATAGATACTTTCTAGGGTTTGTCCAGAGAAGGGGCAAACCACCCACTAATTACGTACACATCTACGTGCACTTCACTGTATCCTTTCGACCATGGCCATTGACCATATCCTTTATTTTTCACCGACATCGACACCATCATACTCTGCACAGTCTCCGTCGCAGTGCCACATTAACAGCAACGAAGGTATAATACCAAACATGGCCACATATGATGTCACATATGATAATGCATAATGCCACATATTACCATATAATGTCACATATGGTAGTGCACAAAGCCACAGATTACCAAATATAATGTCACTGTTGCTAATTCAAAACGTCAAACAAATGAATAATGTCAAACTCAACCACTGACCTGCAATAATACAACCGGTGACAATCATCCATCTCAGAGCTATCGTTATGGCAGCCGAATGACAAACCATCATTTACAACGGTTGGCCCTTATTTTCCGACATTGAGTCGCCATCCGAAAGCCTCCAAACAAAGCTCAAGGTAAATAATAAAAATTCAATTAAATATCAATAGGGAACCCAAACATTTCTGAAATTTATGATTTGAAAAAGGGAGATATGGCGACATGGCAGATCTGTGTGCGTAGGCGGCGGTGGTGGCTATGGTGCTGCATGAGCCGACAATTGTTATGAATCGAGGGAAGGAAATCGGCAAAAGTGGGATCAGCGGAAGGGATGAAGGGAATTAGCAGATTTTTTTCCCTTTCTCGATTGAGTCGTGCGCGTGGGAATCAACAGATTTTTTTCCTATTTAATTACTTGTATTTAGAGGAGTTTAAGTTTGAACTCCTACTTTAAAGATATAAAATATACTCCCTCCGTCCGGGAATGATGTTCCCACTCTACCTTTTTTTTCATCCGGGAATGATGTTCCCATTCTACGTTTTTTATCAAATCTTCCTAAAATACCCCCTTCTATTCATTTCTTTCTTTTTCTTCCTTTTCTTCTCTTTCTTTTTTTGCTCTGCCACTGTCCTTCTCCTCATTTTTCTTTTTCGTTCTTCTCTCCTTTTTCTCCTCTTCGGCCATATCTTTTTCTTTCTTCTTCCGCTAAATCTACTTCTTCTCCTCAACTCGTCTCTTTCTCTTCCAGCTCCTCCTCCTCATCCTATTCCTCCGATCCTCTCCTCTTTTCCCCCTTCGTCTTCAACTTCTCTCTCTCGCTCTCTCTCTCTCTCTCTCTCTCTCTCTCGTTCTTCTTCTTCTAATTCTTATCCTCGGCCTTCTTCTTTCTCTTTTAATTTGTCTTCCCTCAGATCTACGACTTTCTTTTCTTTCTCCCCTTATTCTTCTTCTTCTTCTTCTAGATCTGTGCTAGATCTATAAGGCTGGCATCGATGGTAGAGGAGACGGAGGCGATGGTAAGCAGACAACATCTGTATTAGATCTATTTCTTCTCATCTTGTTTCCCCTTATTTTTTTCTCTTCCCTTATTGTGGTGAGGGCTGAAGGAAATGGCGAGGATAAGGACGTCGGTGATGCAGTTGTTGGCGATGGGGGCTGGGGAAACGTTGGGCGGCGGTAGGTTGGGGCAGTTGTGGGCTGGGGCAGCGGTGGCTAGGGGTAGGATAGTGGGGGGGGGGGCAAAACAAGGAAGGTAGGAGGGTACTTTAGACATTTTAATGTCATAGTCAACATTCACTAAAAATAAGCAAAAGTCAAACTGGGAACATCTTTCTCGGACGGAGGGAGTATATGTTTTGCTTCTATTTGGGGGGTTTCCTAAATATGTAATGTATCCACATAGTGCATTAATAGAAATTTCAAACACTCTAGTAGTTTATATATGTTAATTTGATACATGGGAGTTCTTATCAAATTATAAAAAATGTCCCAATTTAATTTTTAAATAATACTCCCTCCGTTTTTTAAAAGTATTCCTACTTTGACAATTAGCAAAAATAAGGGTTGATATTTTGGGCTTTGACCTTCCCATTATGCCCTCATATCACTCACGTGGGTTTGGAAGAGGAAGGTACAAGGGAAGGGTTTAATTAATGGGAATAGTACTTTAGCAATGATTACAAATAGTGTTTTCTTTCCCTTCTCAAATACCACACGGTTTACTCCACAAAAAATAGAGGGAATTACAAAAACTTTCAAGTTTGGGAAAAATTTAAAAATCCCTCCACACAATTTCAAGTACACCCCAAACATCTTCAATAAATACACAATGATATGCTAACATTAAACACACTTCATCTACCCAAACTCCTCCTGCACTTAATGTGGTCACTCTTTAATTTTTTCTTCTTTTCCATTAATGGCAGCCGACTTCTTCCCCACACAGTACGTTGATTCCGCTTCCGATGTCGATTCCTCTACTGACCCCTGCCGCCGCTCCTCAATGTTCCTTTTGCTTTCAACACCCCTGAAACAAATCATTCAAACAGTATTTCCGGTGTACACGCAAGAGATGAACGTAGAAAAAAGATTGTTGATGCAATTCTACAAAAGGTAAACAACAGAAAACTTCAGCATGGCTCAATTAAGGAAGTGGCAGATCAGTTTAACATGTCACAGCGTTGGGTTGGAGAGCTATGGAGAATTGCTAAACGTCAATTGGCATGGGGCCAGGCCGTAAATGTTCAATGCAGATGGCGGGGTAATGTAGGGAGGAAACGTATGGTTGTGGACTTCTCAAAGCTCAGTGAAGTTCCATTTCACCAACAAAAGACTTTACGTGCTATAAGCCATTGCATGAATGTCTCAACCAGTACAGCACACAATTGGCTCAGGGAGAATAAAATAAAAAGACATTCAAATGCCATTAAACCCCTTCTGTGCGAAAAGGGGAAGTTAAAGAGACTCAGGTATTGTTTGTCTCTTATTTCTCCCACCTCACTGCCAAACAATCCTACATTTCATGACTGCTATAACTACATACATATAGATGAAAAGTGGTTTTACTTTAGCAAGGAAACAACCACTTTTTACAAGTTGCCTGACGAGGAAGAACTATACAGAGCCACACAATCCAAAACACACATTCCCAAGATTATGTTTTTGGCAGCTGTAGGTCGTCCTAGATTTGGGGATGATGGTGAAGTGTTGTGGGATGGAAAAATAGGCATATTTCCATTCACATATGAGGAAGCAGCCCAAAGGAATAGCAAAAACAGGCCAGCTGGTACAATGGAAATCAAGCCAATACAGAAGATTACAAGAGATGTGATGAGAAGCATGTTGGTACAAAAACTACTACCAGCAATAAGGGATAAATGGCCAGCCACAACCAAACATGTACTCATTCAACAGGACAATGCTAAACCGCATGTTGATATTAATGACCCAGAATTTGTTAGTGCTGCAAAGGAAGGTGATTGGGATATTAAATTACAGTTTCAACCCCCAAACAGTCCAGATTTAAATGTGCTTGACTTGGGGTTCTTTAGGGCTATTGATGCAATTCAGGATAAAACTGCACCCAGGACAGTGGGAGACTTGATTGGTAATGTTGCAAGTGCTTTTGACCAACTCACCCCACAAAAACTAAATCATGTGTTCTTAACATATCAGCTTGTCATGGGTGAGGTCCTCAAGCATAAAGGAGGTAATGACTTCAAAATACCTCATATTGGGAAAGAAAAGTTAGCCAGACAAGGATTGCTACCACACAACATAGGTGTCAGTAATGAAGTCTATGAAGCTGCTGTCAACTTCTCAGAAGTCAACAATTAAGGAAAAAGAAGTCATGAACTGTAGGCTATGTATTTTGAATGTACATCTGGTGTACAATTGCACATCTTTTTATTTTTTGGTGTAAATGTAATCCAAATGTGCATTTTTGTCAATGATGTAATGCAAGTTTAGGAATGTTGTATTCCTTATGTGTGTGTATATATATATCCAGTAAACAAACTGGTTTTTTGGAAGTTCACTGGCTCATAACATTCATATTCCATCATAGCCACAGAATTAGGGACTTGGACAGAGAGGGCACTAAAATACAAGGTGCTCACTGCCTCAGAGAACCTAGGAGAACCACATTTTTGGTTCCATCACAGGCACATATTTAGGGACTCTAAGGAATTAGACACTCAACAAGGAGAGTCTAAATGGCTCAGAAAACATAGGAGCATAACATTCCTGTTCCATCATAGCCACATAGTTTGGAGGGACTTGGACAGGGGAGGGACTAAAGTGCAAGGGGCTCACTGCCTCAGAGAAAGTAGGAGATCCAGAATTTTGGTTCCATCACAGACACTTATTTAGGAACTCTTAGGAATTAGACACTCAACAAGGAGAGTCTAAATGGCTCAGAAAACATAGGAGCATAACATTCCTATTCCATCATAGCCACAGAATTAGAGACTTGGACAGAGCAGGCACTAAAGTGCAAGGTGCTCACTGCCTTAGAAAAACTGGGTGATCCAGAATTTTGGTTTCATCACAGGCACATTTTAGGGACTCTACAGAAATTAGACACTCAACAAGGAGAGTCTAAATGGCTTAGCAAACATGGGAGCATAACACTGAAGTTCCATTAGAAGCACATCATTAAGGATTTTCATACATTACAGAATGAAGAAGTAGTGTCTAAACTCAACAACCCTGACCAAACTGGTCATGAACTCTACAAGGCTGACCAAACACAACACCTTCATTGACCATTGTAAGTCTCCACACCGATTGGGGTGACATTACATTTTAGCAATTCTCCTATATTTTGGTAATTAATAGGTTTGCATCATTAGTTTGCCAACAAAATCAATAAAAAACATGCAATCACATATACAGAAATATATGAAGTCCAGAAGATTAAAGGACATTACTCTGGCGAAATCGTTGGAGTTTGGAGGGACTTTCTACTGGTTCAGCAAAGATTATCTCCGAATCAGAGTTCATTTCTCTAATCTCTTCAGTAGTAATTGATTCATCATCTGAATCAGCTTCTTCACATTCCAGATCTGAACTCCACTCTACTCCATCCGGTAGAAAGTCACCTCCAAGGTACTTTTTCCGGTAGTTCCAAGATGGATCCGTGTCAGATGAAGAGGATGGAAGGACAACTTCATCACCATGAAAGGAATGGATTGACACATCCTCATCGGGGCTAAAGGAAGCATCGGAAATTTTTTTCTTGGGGCGAAAACGTTCCTCATCGCTATCACTTAGCAAGTGAAACGAGGGCATGGAAAGATCTGGAGAAGATGGAGCTCCTGTCATGGGAGAAAGTAGAGAGAATTGGTGAGGAAGATGAAAGGTTGACATGTGTAATGAAACGGGTGAAATAACCGAGGGGGAGTAAATTAGGGTAGGGGGGTATTTTAGAGATTTTAAGTGAAAGAGGAAGTGTTTTATTGGAAGTGAAAATTTTGAAAGGAGAAGTGTTTTAAGAAACGGAGGGAGTATAAGACTTGAAAATTCTTAATAAAAAAATGTGGGTCAAAGCAGTTTTTTGAATTTAAAATTTTTGGCCGGTTGGCGTTGCGCTGTTGACAAGGCAAAAGGTGCCAAGGGGGTAAGACCCGACTTCGAATTCTGGCAACAGCACTGGGAAGCAATTATGTTAAACATACGGCCTCTGCATGTACCAGGTACAGACTCTACTCTTTGCCACCAATCTACGATTAAAATCCAATTTAACTTCTCTTACTGATCATTCGGCCGGGTCTGAGGGAGCCCTCGAGGATGAGACTCTTTTTTTTTTTTTAATTTAAAATTTTGGAATTGATTAATTTGTGATAAGCATGAGGACTAGTTTGGCAAATGGCAAATCTGGCTTGGCATGCCCCACCAACGATATAAAATACACATCTGCATATTCTCTACTTCCTTAAATACTCCTAGTAGCTCTCATGCCCAATCCCGCCCGCCCCTTATCTTTTCTTTGAGCCTGCTGCTCCAATTTCATTCATCGTTCATGACTATGGGCGGAAGTCAACCCCTTGACCTCACCGTGCTTGACCAAATCCCGGTGGCCCCTCCGCCGGAATCCACACCGGAACTCACCCTTCCCCTAACTTTTCTCGACATTTTGTGGCTGCACATGAGCCCTGTCCACCGCCTCATATTCTACCAACACCCCGTCTCAACCACCCATTTCCTCCACACCCTTCTCCCCATCCTCCAAACCTCGTTATCCCAAACCCTCCGACACTACAGTCCCTTAGCCGGCAGATTGATGGTCTCGCCCGACAACTCCGTCCTGCCGGAAATCCGTTACGCCCACGGCGACACCGTCCCGTTACTCATCGCCGAGTCCAAATCAAGCGGCGACGTTTTCGACCACCTCGTGTCGGACGGCGTAAGGAGTTGCTCTGTTTTTCACCCGCTTGTTCCGAGCCTACCCCCTGCTTCAGACGGCGGCGGCTCGGCCGTCTCCGTCCCCGTGTTAGCCTTGCAGGTGACGCTTTTCCCCGACGTCGGGATTTGCATCGGCGTGACCAACCACCACGTCATCGGTGACGGCAGCTCCATCTTTCGTTTCATGGAGGCGTGGGCTTTCTTGTCTTCTAGCGGTCGTGGGGTTGACCAAAACGCGTTACCGTCTCGATTCTTACCGTTCTACGACAGAACGGCGATCCAAGATCGGAAAGGACTGGGGAAAATATTCTGGGACTACTTGAAGAACATCAAGATCAAGGACACACACGTTCATCGGCTCCCGTCGATCGCCGACAAGGTCAGGGGAACTTTCAGAGTGTCACCAGACCAAATCAAGAGGCTCAAGAACCAAGTTTTGACACGTCGGCCAGATCTGGTCCACGTGTCGACGTTCACCGTGATTTGCTCGTACGTGTGGAACTGCCTGGTGCGATCCCGGCACGCGGAAAACGAGGACGAGGAGGACGAGTTTTTCGGTTGCGTGGCGGATTGTCGGGCGCGTTTGGATCCGCCGGTGCCGGAGAACTACTTCGGGAACTGCCTCACGGCCTGTTACGGGTACGCGAAGGTGAGGGAACTGGTGAGCGAAGGGGGGCTTGCGGCGGCGGCGGCGGTGGTGGGAGGGAGCATTCGCCGGCAACTGTACAATGAAGAAAAGGATGGGGTGTTCAAAGGCGGAGAGGATTGGTTCAGTTTGTTCACGAAATTGAACCCGGATCGAGCCTTGGGCGTCGCCGGGTCGCCCAAATTTGACTATTACGGGCTGGATTTCGGGTGGGGGAAGGGGAAGAAGTTTGAGATGCCATCCATAGACATAACAGGGGCCATTTCTCTGAGTGGTGACCGTGATGTGGAAGGCGGGTTGGAGGTTGGGTTGGCTCTGCCCGTTACCCAAATGCACACTTTTTCAAAGATTTTCGCTGCGGGTTTGGAGGCTCTATATGATTGATTAATGATGCTCGTACTACTTTTTTTCTCAAACTAGTACTCCTTTATTTATTTTATACCCCTTTTAATAATAATCCTTTTAATAATAATGTTCTATATATTCCCTCCGTTCCTAACTATTTCTCACATTTCTAATATCGAAGTAAAATTTTAAGTTTTTTCAATTCATTTTATTTACATATTGGTATAGAAATAAAAAAATAAATTTACATATCAAAACACTACATAAAAAGTTCTTCGAAATAAGAGATGCCAAAAATATTTTATTTTATCAAATGACCAATGAAAATGTAGAGATAAACAAAAGTTTCCGCGACGACTGAAAAAGCAAATGTAAGATATATTTAGGGCGGGAGGAAGTAATATTTACTTAAAGTTATTTTTGAATCACTTTTTATAAAAAATTGTATAGAATTAAAAAAATAAAAATTACATATTTAAAAATTGTATGAAAAGATCTACAAAACTAGTTATGACATGACTATATTATTTTATCAAATAGGCAACGAAAATACGTCAACAAAGTGAATAAAATTTAACCATGTAAATAGTGAACGAGGAACATTATTGTTGGACAAATGGAGTATATTAATACTCCCTCCGTCCCATAAAGATAGGAAAATGTAATTTTGTCACTCCTTATTTTATAAGAAAAAATGGTACATTAATACTCTGTATACAGTATGTAAAATATTAAAATACACTACTCCGTATATTTTTGTTTTAATTCTTACTAGTTTCAGGTTAGTTTCAATTCTATAATTTGCCTTATTAGTTCCAACTTTAGTTATTTTTCTCATTTTTCGTTATTTTTATGTCTATTTTTTTATAATGTAAGACTTATCTCAAAAAAAAGAAAAAAAAATAAATGGTGGACGAAGAAAGTCATTTTAAATATTATACATCTGTATGGCACCATTGAGCGGTACAAGGCTCGTTAGGTCATGGATGGCAGTGTTCAGACGAAAGGGATTGACTACAAAGAGACTTTTACACCTGTGGCCAAGATGGTAAGTGTTCGTGCTTTTATGGCAGTTGCCGCATCACAGGGATGGAAACTCCATCAGTTTGATATACACAACGCTTTCCTCCATGGAGAGTTATCTGAGGAAGTGTACATGCCTTTACCTCCTGGGTTTTCGACTAGTTCTCCATTTAAGGTTTGTCACCTCTAGAAGTCACTATATGGTTTGCGACAATCCCCCTGAAATTGGTTTGCTAAGCTTCGATTTGCTATATTAACTTATGGTTTCATTCAATCTTGGGCAGACTATATCCTGTTCACTTTTCGCCAAGAGGGGGTGTTTCTCGCCCTCTTGTTCTACGTCGATGATATTATCCTTGCAGGGAATAACAAGACTTGGGAAAGCTAAAGTACTTTCTAGGGAAAGAAATTGCATGTCATCCCAGTGGAATATTTTTATGCCAAAGGAAATATACTCTACACATTTTGGAGGAGGCGGGATTCCTCGGGTGCAAGCCGGCGGCGTTTCCTATTGAGCAACATCATAAGTTGGCTCTGGACACAAGCCAGCCACATGAAGAACCGGATCGATATAGACATCTTGTTGGAAAGTTGGTATATCTCACTATTACACGCCCAGATATTTCCTATGTTGTTCACGTCTTTTCACAATTTATGAAAGCACCTATGGAGGTGAAGTATGAGGGGGTGCTGTGTGTACTTCGCTACCTCAAGGGCTCCCCAAGTCAAGGTGTACGTCTTACTGTGCTCTCGTTCTCCACAGAGATTAAACGCATACCATGATTCAAATTGGACAGGATGTCCTCTTACCCGATGATCCTTGAGTGGGTACTTTGTTTTTTGGGGAGAATCTCCGATTTCTTGGCGGATCAAGAAACAGAGCATAGTGTCCCGATATTCGACAAAGGCCGAGTATAGGGCCATGGTAGTTACCACGACAGAACTTCTTTGGATCCGTTCATTTCTGGCTTCGTTAGGCATGACACACAAGTGGCCTATGAATTTGTGTTGCGATAATCAAGCGGCATTACACATTGCGGCAAATTTAGTGTTCCACGATAGGACAAATCATATTGTACTTGATTGCCATTTTATTCGGGAAAATTATTGATGGATCGATCAAAGCTACACATATCGAGACACAACTTTAGTTGGCGGATATCTTCACAAAGGCACTACAGAAGCAACAGCTTGAGTTCCCATTATGCAAATTAGGCATTTGTTCCTCAAATGCTCCAACTTGAGGGGGTGTGTTAGAAATTAATATATTATATTATATTTATGTTAATATAATAGTCTCTGTATATACTTTCCTTTTCTTTGTATAAAAATTAAATAATAAGAGGAAAAAAAGAAAAAAAACAACGAAAGGAGAGATAAAAGAAGTGAGAGAGAGCTAAAAAAGAATAGAATATACATGAGAGAGTCTAAGGAAAAGAAAAGGAAAAAAATAGAGCTCAATGTGGATAAATGAAAATTTAGATTTTGTAATTTGACCTAAAGTGACCCGTTGGTCACTTGCTAATAGGCAAATGAGTTATTAGTGAAAGAATCGTACAAGTTCAAGCACCTTTTTGAAAAGTTTTGAAGTTTAGCCACCAAATCAAAATTTTCGTTAAAGTTTAGGTACCAATCTTGAAATTTACCCGTCATGCATTTAATCAATCTTACCCTTGTAAAGAGATGAGCAAAAGAATCGGACTAGTCAGACCAGATTGGTCTCTTAAAAAGACTGGCACTATTTAGGACGGGATCGGTCTGGTCTTTTTTAAAAATCAGTCAGACTAGTCTGACTAGTCTGGTCTAGGGTTGTAAACGAACCGAATCGAATATTCATGAATAATATTCGTATTCGTTAAGATAAAGTGATATTCGAATTTGAATTCGAATTCGGTTCAAATATTTTTTAAGATTCATATTCCGTTCGTTTAATATGTTAAACATATTCGGTTCTTTTAAAATTTTGGTTCATTTAAATATTAAAATATTTTATAACCATTTAATCTATGTATTAGCTATTTTTGTCTATATATATATATATATATATATATATATATATATATATATATATATATATATATATATATATATATATATATATATATATATATATATATTATTTGCATAATTAAATTTATATTCCAAATATATTTGTTAAACTCACGAATCGAATAATCTTGATTTATATTCGTATGTGATAAGGATTTGAACATTTATTCAGATTCGTATTTGTATTCAGATTTGAAAAAATCGAATACCAATCACCTCATACGAATACGAATCACGAATCGAACAAAAAATATTTGATTCATTTACAACCCTATTCTAGTCTTCATGGAAAAATAGAGACCTTTGGGGACCGAGTAGTCCCGTTAGGACTGATCTGGTCTTTAATATGTAAAATTCTCAATTTTTCGTTCTTCAACAAAAATAATCGTAAAAAAACTTATTTTTGGTTACTTAATTTTTTCTTTACTTTATTTATTTAAACACAGTAAAAAATATGCAACATGAATTTTATTATGTGAGATTGAAGTTGGATAGAATTGAAGAAAAATATATTTTAATATGTATGTTTTGTACACATGAGATTTTTTTATCATCACTTATTTTTATATTCTTTAAAAGAATATGCAAGTACTATGCTTTATGTAAAATTAAATTTAAAGTACAAATATACATGTATATAAATTATATTATTTCAAATACATTGGATCTTTAGTCCTAGTCTGGCCATGATCCATTCTTTCGAAAAAGACTACCCGATTAAAGACCAATCTAGTCTTTCATAAAAAAATCATGGACCAAATGAAATTATCAGTCCAAGTCCTGGCCGGTCTCAAGGACCACTTCGGTGCCATCTTTTCTAGTCACAATCCCAATTTATCTTGACCAATCTTTTTGATCTTAGTCTTTATGATCATCACTACCCTCGTAGATGTTGACCGAGTTGTGATGATACCCATCACTATTACCACAAAAAATATGGAAAGTACATTATTTACACGGTCAAATATTTGTCTCTTATTATAATCTCAGTAAAGATTTATTTGAATTGTGATACTCCAGGTTAATAGGGAATGGAAAGAGTTCAAATGGATTGCTTGTACGTATACTACTCATACCAACAAGATACACCTTCTTTTTGAGAGCTCATCACTTGAAAACTTTAAAGTTAAGCGTGTTGGACTTAGAGCAAATCTATGATGGCTCTCCTTGGAAAGTTTTTGGGGGTGCACGAGTGAGGAAAAATAGTGCGAGAAAGAATTGTGTTGGTTTGTGAGATCACTCTACATTCTTATAAGTAGACACTCCCGGCCAAGATGAAAGTCGAGACTCGGGGTGTTACAAATTAAATGGTACCATAACAATTCTATGAGCGTGAGGGACAAACAAACTTATTTCACTCAGTGGGAAGATCTAGAGGATTGATTGAAGGACCGTGCTACACACCCCTCACCCTTGCTACCAACCTTGCATCCACCCACTTTTTCACCACATATTTATCTCTACCCATTCTCCACCCACCTTTTAATTTTAATTTTCTTGCCTCTCTACCACATGTTTATGTAGGGGGGGCATGGTTGGTACCAAGGGTGAGGGGTTTTTAGCATTTTCCTTGAAAAAAAATGTGCAATGAGGGGTTGTATTCCAACGTGGAGGTTGACATACATTAAGCCAAAGAAAAATGGGAGAAAGACTAAAGTAGAACTAAAACATTAAAAATATACCAAAATAGGACTTACATGTTTTTATTCCCGAAATAGGACTTACATTACCATACATGGTCATATACATTACCAAAAAAGTATAAAAATTTGCCCATGTACACTACCACATTACCACAATGCAAAGTCACATTACCACAGTGCAAAGTCTTATTCTGGAAATAAAAAATGAAAGTCATACTTTGGTACTTTTCTCTATGTTTTAGTTCTATTTAAAGTGATTTCTAAAGAAAAATTTGGCAATGCTCATACAGAAGTAAAGCAGAAGTAACTCAAATTAACAGAATTAGGAACTTTCTTCTCTGCCAAGCCACAAAAGCAACACCATCATGTTACAAAATTTTAATTTGTTGTCCAAGGACATTACGGTGACTCTCTCATGTAACTTAATTATGAAATGTTTAAAATCTAAATTTAAAAAACTTCAAAATAAGATGTGATAAAAAAT